TTCATGAAGGTTTATTTTCGAGTTGTCCTGATGACATCCCACATGACGATGAGGCATAGAACTCCGTGGCTAAAAACACACGATTCACTGGTGTCACTAATTCACCTCTCACTTCGTTTCTGCTTTGCTTAAGAACTCCAAACATTCACACTCATTTATTTCCAATTTTAAGACAGTGTGTTTAAGGTTTAATTTGTAACTGTGTTTCAATTCGAATTTTGATTCGAAAATGGATCCATTTCCCAAAAATGAGCAATTTTACGAGTGTAGTGTAAGTACCGTGAGAGAACAATGGACGTACTTTCAAATATATATTCTCTTGACCACTTACACTCTTTGCACTCACCAATCACCAATCAGATTGCCTCCTTTCTTATTCACTACGCAACTTCAACTTCAATTTCAACGTTAACTTCAACTTTACTAGTTTATATGAGAACTTTCGCATGAGAGCGCAGAACCTCTCGTTCACATAAACAACAACCTCGCAGTGCTAATTTAGCCAATCAGAGGAAGGATATAACAGAGTCAACAAAGTCTGTCCGTGCCACGAGATAAACAAAGACAAAGTGATAGATTAACCGTGGGCCAAATACTTACTTGTAGATCACTTCGGATTGCGTCAGAGGATAATTTCAAATGAATTGGGGATTCATATGGTTGTTTATCGCCGTTGGAAGATCAGCTTCACATTTTTTTCACACTGATGTAAGTCTGCGTTCCGCCAACCATTTTTTGTGTCTATCGATCATGTGCTTAAATTTTAATATCCAGTACAAATTTCATTTCTAACAGCTTTACTCTGTTGTCTTAATCCTCGCAAAACCTTGACTCTACTTTAACCTAGTTATAAGACCGCACTGTTTTCCACTTATCAATTTTTTTCAGCATTTTGATTTATTATTATTATTATTATTATTTCTTTTCATTATTTTATCGTTTTGGCTACTTTGGCTTGTATTAATGAACAGGGATAATTTTTGGATAACTGGATGCATCTGAAGTCGACTAACATGTAATCCACTTTTCGATGATAGGTATTGGATCAAGCAGTTTCGGAGATCAATTTCTGGGTAGAGAAGTGTCTAACTTTAATTGAAATTTTGGGCTTGGGTTGTAAAGTATTAACCTTTTTGTTTGTTCATGTATCGGAGTTAGAGGATTTGAATTTGACTCCTGAGTTGGAGTACTTAATTGGCGTCGAGATCATAACTAATTGACAGTTTCGTAATCAACATTGATATGATCGTGCATAACACAAAAGCACTTGGAAGGTCAAAGTTCACACAGCCCTGTGAGTTTTGCTCAGTTTTGCGCAATTCACAGAAAGCTAATCTATTTTCTTCTCTTAATTTAACTATTCTCTAATCGTCTTCTAGTCTTGAGGTAATTGGTACCATCCGGCCTCTAGCTGATAACACCTAAACCAGACCTATTCTATTAATGTGGGCTCCTGAGAACTACCGCATTGTGTAGGCTATTTCCGCGGATTTCTGAGTACTTGAAGAAGCCTTTCACTTTCAAGTTTATTAAGCGCATTCTCCATTTGAACACAGTTCACCACTGATATTTCAGATCTCAGAGATGAAACGTCCGAGCTTAGTCATGCTTACGTGTTTGTGTATACAGCCTAATGCATGTTTATATTCGGAAAATTTCGCGATGCATTAATTCTAATTTTGTGCAGACATTTTAATCAGTTGATTAGAAGAAATCGTTCATATTCGAATTAGAATTCAATAGCTCTCCAAATTGCACTTAATGTTGGAGGATGAATTGTATACATTACATTTACTAGAGTGCCTCCCTGTTGTTTGAAGGGGTGAAACTCATGACATTATACTAGTCAGTTCAAGGTTACATTTCCTGGTGATTTATTGATGGTTGCATTGAATTTGGAATTGTGTTTACAACAGACGTGTATTCATTCTCATCTTCGTAATCGCGGGTTTCAAGAACCTGATCTAATAAGTGTGAAAGCAGCAGAAGAATAAGAAGAAGAAGTAGAAGATTGGGCAATCCGTTAATGGAGACCTTTGGTGAACAATCTGACAGTGGAATGTTTACTTCCACTGCAATTTTACCATACTGCTCATATGTGGCTAGTGAAGGCAGTGGGAGAAATCGGATTTCCCACCATCAAGGTCCTCTGGTATCACCTCTCTAGGGGGTTGGGATGTACTTGTCAGTTAGACATTTAATAAGTAAATTATTCACTTAGTACCTTATTTGTGCCAATTGATCACGTGCATGTATTTTAAAACTTAAAGCAAATTGCATTTCTACTGGCTTTGTTGTGCAATCTTAATCCGCCCACAACTTAGATACAATATTCAACCTAGGTATTAGATCACTTTCTATGCTTTACAAACATTATTACCATTATTATTCTTACTATTATGACTTATTACAAAAATTAACTTGTGTAATTTTGGGATTGGTAGATTGACATCTACTAAGAAAATCATTCACTTTGTTCGTCTCAACAAGAAGGAACAGCAGTTACTGACCCCCAATAATCCCTTTGCTAGTTTGAAGAAATAAGTTACTGATTCATTTTCACTTGAGGTCAATCAAGATATCTGGACTAGTGCCACTGCTGGAAGCGAAAAACAGATCATTAGAAACTGAATATGCCGTTTTGATAAAATATTAACAAGTATTTGAGCATAGTGACCACTCTAATGCAGCCTTTATTGTACCATTTTCAGAATTTAGGAACTCTGGATTTTGCGATAAATTACGAAAATAATGGTGGAGTTGTTGAGAATGGGGAAAATTGTGACCATTTGCCATTCGATCGACTTTGTGACATTTACTTCGAGATATGCGCAACTGATGAAGACGGTGAGGTGTAAGTTGATCAATTCGTTTTAATGTTTACTTTAATTTTGTTTTAATTCTTCAATTTACCTACTTGTTCACTTTAAATGGGAAATTTGTAACAATGAACAATTTACACTGCTGTTAGCTTAGAATACACATAAAAATGATAAGAAACCAACAATTAACGGTAACTGAATTATTGTACTTCGGTTAAGAAAAATTGAAATGATTTTTTACAAAATTCCTATTAATGTTGACTATTGACTATTGATTTAATTTTAGGCGGAATTCGTCCTGTAATTTCCTCTCCAAAACCACCACCCCGGTTCGAAACACAGCTGTTACCAGTTATAAATTTAAAGTACCATATTTCACAAACCAACTTGTACGAATTTTTTTCAAATTAAATTTGAAGAGTAGCCTCACATTGAATTAATTGCACATATATGTATGCCTATTTTTCATTTGTAGTTAAAAATTAGAATTTCGGCGCTGGATCATGATCATCTCTCGCCTGCTGACAACTTGGGAGAATTCTTGTTTCAATTTCATCCATATGAAATATCTAGCACATCTCAAAGTGCGATAACGGCTACCTCAACTACACTAGCACACCATTCAACGAAGTAAGTTTTGATAAAATTTATTAAATACCACTTCACGTTGAGATATATGCATATTAAACTCCAATAAGTCAATAATTTGATATATGGTGTGAAGGATGGAAATATCGATTTTCGCGAGCACAGTGTATTGAACTGCATTGTTCGCGTGAATTGGTGACTTCGCTCTCTTTGGTAGATGAACAACCTAGTGATCTGAATTATTTGGTGATTTGGACGTTTAACCATTCATTCTCGCTGTTGCATTGAAGTGGATACATTATAACTCAGTAACAAATGGCAATTTACTAGGAGAATAACTCACTGGTTGAATGGCAAAATTCATCACTATTTTAGAGATTCCTGTGAATTGGAAACATTATGGCACAACTACACCCAAGGGGAA